ATATATATATTATTGTTTTCATTTTTTATTATATATTTTATATACATTTTGTATGAATGCAGTTCAAAGAAATATAATGTGCATTGATTTTTTTTCAGGATGTGCCTATGACCCATTTTAAGGATCATTATTGATTCAGTTCAGAAAGAAGAATAAGAATGTTGGCGTCAGAAGGAGGGAGCTCTGCAGAGATTTCCGAAGTAGGGCATCAGCTCTTGTTCTGGTGTATCCATATATAGCAGAGACATAGCCTACGTGTACGGAGGTGCTCCAAATGACAGAGAAACGCGACGCTTCACATTACTATGAAGAGATAACTGGAGAATGTCCAGAAAATGTTACAATCAAAAGATGAATAAAACTGCCTGATATATTCTAAAGCTCATGCAAGATCCTAAACACCTGCTCATATTAAAGCATTTGAAATATGTTATTACTTTCAAAACCATTAGCCCAATCCGCTATTCGTACGTTCAGGGACATTTAGAGTAATTGCTGCTTTGTCTAAAAATTATTTCTCTCATTTTCAGCTTCAGAAAACACACGCATGTATTCACTTGACTCACCAGCTGTTACATAACAGCATATATTGAAATGTCATGAACAAAGTGTCAGCCACATACAATAATGTTGGTTTCTACGTTAAAGTGAAAGTGACTTGATGTAACTAGTAATGCTACCTGCAGTCCAGAGAGTGGTTTAAAGTGAAGGTCGTGTGATCTTGGATTCACTTACACAATCACATTATAGACTGTATCGAGCACAGCCGAGAACATGGCCAAATTAGATGAGTTACTTTAAAGGCTTAACCCTCCATTTTATTAAAGCAGACCTGCTCTCAGTCAAGCCATTTCCTCTCCCCCACAAAATGGCCGACATCTCACACAACTGCAGCCGTTGCCTTGGTGATGAGAGAAGGACTCCAATATTCTGAGAAACCGCAGCATGCGATCAGAATCAGTCAGGTGAAATGCACATAATACAGCATAATCTAGCATATCTAGCATAATGTTATGCACTATCCAATTGAATGACTTATAGCTATAGGAAGCTGTCCCTACATAATCTGTCTAAGATGTTGTATCAGGACATGATAGCATTAACACACTGCTTCAGACGGGCAACACTCCAAGACAGCAGCTGCTTCAGCGCTAAACTCTCCATTTGCTCTCTGCCACAGAGATTATGCAGACAATCAGCAACTCAACAAAATCACACTCAGGGCTGCATGAAAGACCAATCACTGCTGCTGTCAGAGAACAAATAACATTCTACACACTCACAATCAATCAATCAATCAATCAATCAATCTCTATATAGATAGATAGATAGATATATTACATTTACATTACATTTAGTCATTTAGCAGATGCTTTTATCCAAAGCACCTTACAAATGAGGACAATGGAATCAATCAAATTCAACAAAAGAGCAATGACATACAAGTGCTATAACAAGTCTCAGTTAGCTTAATGCAGTACACGTAGCAAGTTTTTAAAAAAATTATATAATAAATAAAAAGAAAACAGATAGAATAGAAAAAGAATAGAGCAAGCTAGTGTTAGAGGCCTTTTTTGCTTTTGTTAATTGCATAATAAAATAAATAAATACAAATAAAACAAATGGATAGAATACAAAAAGATGAGAAAAGCTATAGTGTTAGTTTTTTTTTTTTAAGAAAAGCAGTAAATGAATAGAATGCAAGTCTAAAAGGGACAAGTTTTTTTTTTTAAGAATAGAATTAGAATAGAGAGTGCTAGAGTTAGAGGGTCAAATAAAGATGGAAGAGATGTGCTTTTAGCCGATTCTTGAAGATAGCTAAGGACTCAGCTGATCGGATTGAGTTGGGCAGGTCATTCCACCAGGAGGGAACAGTTAAT